CATTATTGAAATTTTCACTTATTGAAAACATATCAAAATATTAGAGTTGGCATTGTAGCTTAATAGGTTAAGACACCACCTGCAATGCCTGCATCCCATATGGGCGGTAGTTCATATCCAGGCTGCTCCACTTCCAATCCAGCTCCCTACTAATGCACCTAGAAAAGCAGTGGAAGATGGCCCAAGTACTTGGGGCCCAGCACCCACATGGTAGACTCAGATGAAGCTCAGGGCTCCTGCCTTTGACCTGGTCCAGCCTTGGCTGTGGCAGCTATTTGGGAACTGAACCAATGGATGGAAGATCTCCCTATCTCTGCCTTTCTTTCTAACTTTGCCTTTCAAATAGATCAAATAAATCTTAAGAAAAAAAAAAAAGCAGGGGTTGGGGGCAGAGCCAGCGCTGTGGTGTAGCAGGTAAAGCCACCTGTGGCACCAGCATTCCATATTGGTGCCAATTCGAGTCCTGCAGCAGAACATGGCCCAAGTCCTCAGGCCCCAATACCCACATGGGAGATTCGGAAGAAGCTCCTGGCTCCTGGCTTTGGATCAGACCAGCTCTGGTCATTACAGTCATTTGTAGAGTGAACCAACGGATGGAAGATCTCTTTCTGCCTCTCCTTTTCTCTCTATCTATAACTCTGCCTTTCAAATAAAGGTTCATTAAAAAAGAAAAAAATATATCAAAATGTAACTTACACTAATCACTACTTCAAAATCACAATAGTTATTATCCTTGCCACTAGACTTTGGTAGGTAATGCATTAATAAAGTGGGTATATGTCATATTACATATTTACTTCTTGGCATATTGGTCACTGTATGTCCGTATAAGCAGTTTGCTTTGCATTCCTATGTACTTTTTATAAGATTTATTTATTCATTTGAAAGGCAGAGTTATAGAGACAGAGGAAGAGACAGAGACAGAGAGGGAGATCTTCCATCCACTGGTTCATTCCCAAGGTGGCTACAATAGCCAAGGCTGGGCCTGGCCAAAGCCAAGGAGCCTGGAACTCCGTCTAGGTCTCCCATCTAGGTGTCAGGGGCCCAACCACTTGGGCCATCTTGGCTGTTTTCCCAGGCACATCAATAGGAAGTTGGATAGGAAGTAGAGCAGCCAGGACTCAAACTGGCACTCATATGGAAGACTGGCATCATAGGCAGCATGTTAACCCACTGCACCATAACACCAACCCCCCTGCACTTTAATTTTATTCAGTAGACAGTCTTTGTAAAAGAATTCATCAGTTTTTTTAGAATGTTAAAGAGGTCCCAGAGGCACACACAAAAAAAGTCAAGAACCCTGACTTAAGGGTGAAAGAAAAAGTCCCAGAAAGATACTTTAAAATGGCATTTGGCAAACAGGGACCCCAGGATGAAATGCAGCCAGCATTCAATCCCAGGATTCAAAGCCAGGACATATATATATATTTTTTTTCAAAATTGAATAGGAATGTATTCATAACCTGTAAAGTCCAGTGTCCTTCAAGGGTTCTTTAAGTAAACCAGAAGCAAGCCTTTGGGTTATAAAGTGAACAAATGAGCATTTCAATACCATAAATGTCTGTTGATTTCCTGAAAAAAGAAAAATTAAATAAAAGCAAAAACAAAGAAATAAAAAAAAAAAACCCACAAAATTTCTTTTATGTGGCATCCTAGACCAGAAAGACTGAGCGCTGTATTGCTGGTCTCAGGGTAGCATCTGCTGAAAAGTAGGGGTGCTCCCCAGTGTGCGCCTGGAGACAATTCTACTCTAATGAAACATGGTTAGACACCTGTTCCCAGCCTGCTTTGTTTCTTCTTCCTGGAATATCTTGCCCTCGTCCTGCATTACCCTTGCTAACTGGCTCAGTTCCAGTTGACAGATGAGTTACCACATTTAAGAAGTCCTCCGTAATGTCCCCAATTACACAATAGTGTCTGTCCCCTTGCATTATCCTTACTCTATCACAGCCTCCATCGACCTTCCAGGTAAACGACAGCCTATTCATTTGTCTCTTCTGCTACTCAGTGGACTTCCTGAACATAAAGGTTGCACCCTTTTCACTGTTACATACCTGATGACTGGAACACAGGAGTGCTCAACTTTAAGTTCTCAAAAGAAAATCTATAGTGATAAAAATCTTATGCATTTATCTTTCTAACAACAAATTATTTTATTTAACATACTTAAAAAAGCACAGTTTCAAATGATGATTTGTAAATGAAAAAGGGATTTTTTTTTCTCACTGATCTGTCATTCACAGCTGGATGACATTTGAGAAAGCAGCTGGCTGAGATTTATGCTCTTCATGAATAAAATAAAAATTACAGAGACAAGAATACGTGTTTAGCACAGTGGTTAAGATGCCACTTGGGATTCCTGCATTTTTTTTTAAGATTTATTTATTCATTTGAAAGTTGGAGTTACACAGAGAGAGGAGAGAGAGCGAGATCTGGTCTTCCATCCGATGGTTCACTTCCCAATTGGCCGCAATGGCTGGAGCTGCGCCAATCCTAAGCCAGGAGCCAGGTGCTTCTTCTGGGACTCCTAAATGGACACAGGAGCCCAAAGACTTGAGCCCTCTTCTACTGCTTTCCCAGGCCAGGTCAGAGAGCTGGACTGGAAATGGAGCAGCAGCCAGGACCAGAACTGGTGCCTATATGGGATGCCGGCACTGCAGGTGGCAGCTTTACCTGCTACTCCACATGCCCACCCCAAGGAATGCCTGCATCTTATATCAGAGTGCCTGGGTTTAAGCAAAGCCAGGACTTCTGATTTGTGCTCCTTCCACCATGGGACTCCACATTCTAAACTAATGAAAATAGGAATCCTGGGCTGGCGCCGTGGCTCAATAGGCTAATCCTCCACCAAGTTCCATTGGTAAGATTTTTTTACCCTAAGGTTATAATTATTGATTAACAAAATAATTAAGAATTAAAATATTATAGTATTATTTCCAATCCCCCAAAATCAAAACCACATAAAAATCTTATAATTGTGTCGATATGAAGTATGATCCAACTAAATGATAAAATGCTGTTAAAATGATATTTTGAATATTTACTAGTGGGAAGAATAACCAAAATTTGGCCGGCACCGTGGCTCACTAGGCTAATCCTCCACCTTGCGGCGCCGGCACCCCAGGTTCTAGTCCCGGTCGGGGTGCTGGATTCTGTCCCGGTTGCCCCTCTTCCAGTCCAGCTCTCTGCTGTGGCCAGGGAGTGCAGTGGAGGATGGCCCAAGTGCTTGGGCCCTGCACCCCATGGGAGACCAGGAGGAAGCACCTGGCTCCTGGCTTCGGATCAGCACAGGGCACCAGCCACAACGCGCCGGCCGTAGCTGCCACTTGGGGGGGCGAACCAATGGAAAAAGGAAAACCTTTCTCTCTATCTCTCTCTCACTGTCTAACGCTGCCTGTCAAAAAAAAAATTAAAAAAATAAAATAGGAATCCTTCATTTGTGGAGCACTAGTTCATGATCTCACTGTAGTGAAAAAGCAAGCCACCAAACCTGCCTCGAACCCCAGCAGAAGCTGCTGTCCAGAAAGACACCACTGCCTGGGTCCCATCACCATGCCACCTCCCAGGCAGAAAGCGGCATCTGTCACCCCACTCCATGGAGCCATGGTCATGGGCAGAGCGGACAGCAAGGACAAGCCTGTCCCTCCACACTAGCTAGAACCTCACCGGGAGAGGAAGGCACAGCGGTACAGAACCAAATGATGGACCCATACTTCCCTTCAGCTTCTCTGGGCAGGCAAGGCTAACAACCTAATTGGATTCTTTGCTCCAAGCTCTTTTACTTAGTTCTGATCGGTGATCCAGGGTGACTTGCGAGATTTACAATATTTCAACTGCTGCATTTTCCATTGGCCCTAACCAAAACAGAAGATTTTACTTAACCAATTAGTCTGGAATCAGACTGCTAAGCTGACACAATGGACTCTCTGTTCTCTCCTCCCTGTGCCCACCAACTAGCATTCATTATTTAATCTGCGACACGTGTGGCCAGGCTGTGTTAATGACAACAGCGCTCTTTGTCTCCACATCCACTCCTCCTGCAACATCTGTCACGAGTCCTATCTATGTTCCATTTTATGTGGCTGCTCTCATATTTTCAGGCTCATTTTCATGATGACCACAGTTTGCTCACAGACCTTTCACAAACCTTCAAAAGGTAACAACATTTTGTAACTTGGCAGTCACAGAAAATTTAAGGTACATGCCACGGGCACCCTTTTAGTTACTGTCCTTTCACACAAAACTGAGTAATTTCAAGCAAATTGTATCTCAGCACTGCCTAGCTAACTTTTTAATAATTTCATCAATTCACAGACTGTGAGAGTACTTCAAAAAGCTCATATAAAATGGAATTCAAAGATATTTTAGTGCAAAAAGTGTTGAAATTCATGCATAGTTTTTTTTCCCAATATGCACTTTATCTTTTTTTTAAGTTTATGCATTTATTTCAAAGGCAGAGAGAGAGAGAAGTCTTCCTTCCATCTTCTGGTTCACACATCAAAAGCCTGCAACAGCCATGGGTGAATCAGGCCAAAGCTAGGAGCCCACACTCCATCCACTTGCAAGAAGCTGAATTGTAGGCAGAGGTAGGACCTGATCCCAGGCCGATATGGGATGTGATCATCCCAAGCTGTGGCACAGTGCCACCACGCCTAACCCCTTCATATGCATTCTCCTGGACCTTTGGGAAGACCCCTCCAGTGCACTTTTTTGCACCAAAATTTTAAAATATTTTAAATTTCATTTTCCATGAACCTTTTGAAATATCCTCATCCTTGGGCTGCTTCGCATACAATGCATGTTTTCCTTTCATAACATAATAAGAACACAGCTTTGTATGACTAGTCTGACACAATATGCTCTCCTAAAAAACAAGCCAAGTGTTCCTTAATGTGCATGTCAAAAACATAAATTATTGTGTTCACTGAAGACATTTAATTCCTAGTTTCCCATACTCTTTTCTTTCTTAATAAGGAGTCAGAGCGAAAATGATCACTTACCTTCTCGTTGACGTCACTACACACTAGAGAATTCTCACGGGTAAATGGGAAGCTCCAACTTGGTTTCCAGGCCCTCCTGTTCCTTCCTGCCTCTGGACTTGCAGACCTGTCCACTGCACACAAAGCATAAAGTAGAGGTTACCGCCAGGCTGCCTGCGCTGTCAGGGAACATGGGACAAGTTGCGATAGCAACCTTCTCCCAATAATTTCCCTTGCTTATTAATCACCCAGAAGCATGTCTTTCCTTGCCCAGCCAGTCCAAGCATGGGATGGTGTCCTGTTGCCCCAGCAGTTCCTTTTGCCTTCGGCCACTTGCTGTCATCCCTATCCTGTCTTCTTTGCATTGCACTCACACAGCTTCCTCACAAGATCCCTCCTTCCAACCAAATTGGTACATTCCATTTTCTCATCCTCCCCTGCATTTCAAGGGGCAGCACAAACTCAGGTCTCCCGAAAGCCTTCTGGTGGCACAGGTTTAAAAAAAAAAAAAATCACTCAACACCATATAGCAATCAGCAACAGCAAATTCATTAGAGAACTAATTATGCCTTGTGAATGTGTTCTGTTGGCCTGCCTGGTCTGGCTACTTAGAAATGCTCTGGCATTCAACTGTCCATGAGTCAGGTGCTCCTCAACTTACCATGAAGCTAAATCCAGATAAAGCAATCCTAAGTCAAAAATACACTGAATACACCCAGCTCGCCATCTTCATCGTTTAGCTAGTCCATATTAAACATGCTCAAAACATCTACATTCTCCTACAGTTGGCCAAAATCATCTAACACAAAGCCAAATGTATTGAATACTGTATTCAAAGTGAAAAATAGAAATGTCTGCAGCGTGCATGTTCATTTCTATTTATCTATTTTACAATTCACTTTCTTATTTGAAAAGCAAAGTGACAGTGGGAGAGACAGACACAGAAAAAAAGAGATCTTTCATCCATGGGTTTACTCCTCAAAACAGCCAAGAGGCTGGGGCTGGTCCAGACTGAAGCCAGCAGCCCAGAACTCCATCTGGGTTCCCCATGAGGGTGGCAGGGTCCCAAACACTTAGGCCCTCTTCCACTGCCTTCCCAGGAACTCTCGCAGGGAGCTTAATCAGAAGTGGAAAAGCGGGGACCTGAACTGGCACTCTGATATGGGGTGTAGGTATCACAAACTGTAGCTTAACCCACTGTGCCACGATACTGATCCCACGGGCACATTTTTACACCACCATAAAGCCAAAAACTCTACGTAAAAGTCAGGGGCTATGTTAAAATTTACTTCCCCTATCAATAAATGTAGGTCACTAGTTGTAACTCTGAAATCAACTATTGTAAAAGGCATTTAATAGACAAATTCCACCTTACATAGCATACATCTATATGAGAGTTAAGTCATTTATATTGCTAAATGATAATTACCAAACAGTCAGCATGACTGCCATATCATAACTTAACCCAGCATTTGGACATCCGTATCCGCCCCATGAAGCAGGTATTTCTTCCATTTCTCAGATGAAGAAAATTGAGTCAGAAATATTAACTTGCCCAAGCTCATTTATTCAACACATATTTACTGAGCATCAACTATGTGACAGGCACTGTTACAGCATTCATGACACAAGGTGGAAAGACCCAATCTTCATGGAGCTTATATTCTATTACATCAGAGCGACTACAAAAAATTAAAACAAACAAGTACAAAATCAGGCAATGTTAAATACTGTGAAGCAAGCAAACAAAAAAGGAGTAAAGGAGTGAAGAGTGCCGAGGGAGGAGGAGGGACGCTCCTTAGACAGGGAGAGAGAAGACACTGAACTGAGACATAAAGTCAGGTAACACGCCCTGTGAGCATCTAGGGAAAGGATCCAGGAAGAAACAGACGCTGCCAAGGCCCTGAGGCCAAAACAAAACAACAAGAAGGCCAGTGCGTCAGAGTACTGTGGAAGCAAGGGCAGCAGTGGAGGATGAAGCCAGAGAGGCAACAGGGCGGTCTGACCACAGAAGCCTTTGCAACCCATCGTAGAGTTTACCTGTGTTTTCTAAACAGAATGGCAGGCTCCAGAAGGTTTTAATCAAGGGAGCGAAAGGCTGTGACATTTCAAAAGATTACTCAAGTTGTGTAGGTAAAGAATAGACCTAGAGAAGGCAGACTGTATGGGAGAGCACTGCAGTTGGCCAGGCGAAATGACAGGGAGAAGCAGGCACACCTAAGGTACACTGTGAAGACACAGCCAGGAAGGTTTCCCAACGTGGGTGGTGATACAGGGTGTGAAAGAAGGAGAGGTGTCAAGGCAGACTGGAAGACTGGCAAACGCTCAAGAGGAAGAAAAACACAGTTGCTGAGCTGGGGACCACAGCAGGTGGCAGGAAGCAAATCAAGAGTGCAAGTTTACAGAGATTAGGTTTGAAAGAACTTTGATAGACCCAGATGAAGACTCTTAGGAAAATGTATGTCTTCATGAAGACTCTGGATACGCAAATCTGGGATTCAGGATGAGATGTAAAACTGGGAGTCGGATGACTTTAAATCTGATGGTTGGTTTTAAATAGCATATTTTCACCATGAGACTGACTGAGAGTGGATGAGGGAGAGATGTTTGAGGACTGAGGCTCAAATCCCTCCCACATTTATATATCAGGAAGCAGAGAAGCACCCAGCAATTAAAAAAAAAAAAAGAGGTTTTAAAGGAGTGGGCAGTGAGGTGGGAGGAAACCCACAGAAGCCAGGTGAACAAACAAAGTGACTCAAGGATAGATGGACAGATGACCAAAGGCAGCTGAGAGATAGGTAAAGTGGAAGACAGAAATGAGATTGGACATAACACATGGAGACCAATGAGGGTCTAGAGACGAGTAGGTTCCAGGGAATTTTAGCTGCAAAAGCCCAAAAAGTGGGTTCAAATGAGAATGTGATTCCAATACATTGCTGAGAGCAATTAAACATGTAAATGAGTAGATACACCATGTTCATGAATTGAGACATAATATCGTTCCACAGTCTGTTTTCTACAAACTGATTAACAGATCATCTCAATCTCAAATATAATCACAATGGACATTTTGGGTAGAAATTGATCATCCTAAAATGTGCACAGAAATTCAAAGGGCTTAAGACTATCTAAAGCAATCATTAAAAAAAGAGAGTTTATAAATAGACCATTTGGGAGGGCAGAGCCAAGATGGCGGAATAGTGAGGACGCGCACTGATAGTCTGGGAAAAGATAGTTTAATAAAAGTGGAGTTACTGTAGTTTCAGGGAAAGGTTCAGGGAAAAAACTACAGAGGAAACTCTTCCGGATCTAGTGGATGTGACACGGATGCCCACGGCTCCGGAGCCCAACCTCGGAGTCTACACATCTGCGCTGGAAGGGAAGGTGAGGCAAACCCTCAGTAACCCGAGACATTGGCAGGGAAATGGCAAATAGAGCCTAGAGGGAACGAGGCCTGGGGAAAGTTCACCAGGCTAACTAGAGGAGAGAGGGGGGAAAAAAGGGACTGGTACCGAGAGTTTCTCTCTCTCTCTGCCCACCTCACAAAGGCAAGCAAGACAAAGAGCAGGCACAATTTTGGACATACATAAAAGCTGCGCGACCTAAGGGCTATGCTCGACCTCAGAGCTGTGCCCGCCCTCAGTCAAACAAAAACCTGACTCTGAGGGGGTGAAATAACAGGAGGATAGGACCTAGTGAATGTGTGGAGCTAATGAACTGAGACAGTGAAAAAGAGATGGTGGGTGAGAGAACTCATAGAGTGAGTATTCTCCAGAGATGCTACAATTCGGTAACCCTGGCAACCCAGTGGGAGACTGCAGGAGAATTTGAGCCCACACTGAGGGCAGAACAGATTCTTTTTGTGGTCCTTGGGAAAGAGCAGGTGAATGATATACCCACAGGAGCCAGAGACTGGAAGCTGACTACCTTCAATTCTGCTCAGCTGTGTGGGATTACTTCCCTTCTGAATCAGAGAGAGAGAGAGAGAGAGAGAGAGAGAGAGAGAGAGAGAGATTGATTTACCATGCCTAACCTGAATGTGTCACCTTTGGCACACCCTTAACACTGAAGAACCAAACAGAGCTCTCTGGCCACACCCATCTCAAGCCTCTAAGGCTCCTCCAAAAGCAGATAGTCCACTTAATACAGTCATAGTATAACAAGAAAAAAACACCACAGCGAGGGAAGAAGAATCCACAGAATATCTCCACAATGCCAAGCAGCAAACACAGAAACAGAGGAAATAAGAACAAGGAAGACATTATGATGCCCGGAAATGAACAAGACACCCCAAGCCAAGATTATGAAGATGAGAGATAGAAGAAATGAAAGATAAGGATTTCAAAAAATTTATGATAAGAACATTTAGAAGTTTTGAAAAACAAATTCTTGAACTACAGAAATCCTTACTGGACAGGATAGAAAATCTCTCTTGTGAAAATGAAATCTTAAGGAGGAATCAAAATGAAATGCAGAAACTAGTAGAACAGGAAAGTGTGATAGTGAAGAGAAATCAAAATGAAATGAAGAATTCAATAGATCAAATGAAAAACACATTAAAGAGCCTTAAAAACAGAGTCAGTGAAGCAGAAGAGAGAAAATCGGACTTAGAAGACAGAGCACAGGAAAGTATACAGTCAAACCAAAGAAAAGAAGAGGGAATTAGAAATCTAAAAAATATTGTTGGGAATATACAAGATACTATTAAAAAAAAACAACATTCCGGTTCTAGGAGTTCCTGAAGGCATGGAGAGACAGAAAGGATTAGAAGGTCTTTTTAGTGAGATACTTGCAGAGAACTTCCTGGGTTTGGAGAAGGACAGAGACATCCTAGTACAGGAAGCTCATAGAACCCCTAGTAAACATGACCAAAAGAGATCCTCAACACGAAACACTGTAATAAAGAAAAGATTCTAAAATGTGCAAGAGAGAAACATCAGATTACTCTCAGAGGATCTCCAATTAGACTCACAGCAGACTTCTCATCAGAAACCCTACAGGCTAGAAGGGAATGGCAAGACATAGCCCAGATGCTAAGAGAGAAAAACTGCCAGCCCAGAATATTATATCCTGCAAAGCTCTCATTTGTGAATGAAGGCGAAATAAAGACCTTTCATAGTAAACAGAAATTGAA